TTCCTTCCTTCCTTTCTGTCTCTCTCCTTCTCTCTCTTTCTCTTTCTTTCTTTTTCTCTCTCTCTTTCTCTCTTTCTTTCTTTCTTTCTCCCTTCCTCTCTTTCTTTCTCCTTCTTCTGTCTGTCTTTTTCCTTCTTTCTTTTGTTCTTTCTCTATTTATTGTGGTCTATCATTAGAAGTGTAAGGCATGAGACATTTATCAATGGTTGAAATGGGTGTTTCTGACAGAGAGACTGTCAGCAACTATAGATCCGCAAGAAATATGATTCAAAGAAGCCTACTATAGCTATTCTTTTAACTTGCACTATCTTTTCCAATCTGTTCCACAACTCTGTTTTACACAGACCTGCATTTCTATTACAGTTTGCCTCCCTCAGGTTTTTTTCCCCTTCATTATACATATTGTAGTATAATATATGAAAGAAAAAACGTTGGCCAGTGATTTCATATTCATTGCTGTTCCCTGTTTCTTAATGTGCAATCTCCTACTAGAGGGGAAAAATGTCAGTGATGCGGCCTAGATCCAAAGAGATGACAGCAGCCACTAAGACTTCATGCTAAGTGAGAACAGGTGAGAGAGAGATATGGACTGGCCACATAGATACAAGGTATCTTCTACTCTAATTATTTTAGGAAGCAAGAGGATGAGATGAGAGGTGGTTTGCTTGTTTTCTAAGAGCAGGAGGAGTTCTTAAAAAAAATGATAAAAGAAACAGAGACCGTGGATCATAAATGATCCTGAGTTTTCTAAGTCTAGGCTCTCAGAACTTAAAGTTTCATTCTTGTGCTTGCAGTTTCCACCATAAGATCTGTAATGTGTGCTGGAGAATCCCAATTTCCCATATCTTTTATGAATAAAGCTCTGACTCTTACAGAGAAAGACTTCCTGAAAGGCACAGGAAGTCCTCCAGTGAGATCATGTGTTGGGGGTAATGTCACACCAAAACACAACGCTGCTACAGACCAGGCCAGTCGTCAGCTAGTTTAGGAGAGGACAGAAGATTTGGGAAGCAGCAAGTCTCCCCAGTTGAATAAAACCAGGACACAAAATATCCTTTTTATTTTTCACTCTTTCATCCCCTATCCTTCTACCCTCTCTTCCATGACTGATTTTGGCCTTGCTCTTGTCCTACACTTTATTTTTTCCAGCCTGCCTAACTCTGTCTTCTTCCCCCAGGATTGGTCTTCTCTCTTGTTGCTTCCTCTGCCAGTTTTGTATCAGATGATACTGTGTCCATGAAATTTAACTTCTTTAGATTGAATAATCTGTTAGTATTTCACACGAAGAATGATTTCCCAGTTTTATTTCAGTTTTTTCCTCCCTTATGTATCCTCCTTCCTGTATCCATGAGCCGTGAAGCTGTCAGAATCACCACATTCCAGCTTATTCCCACAGTCCTGCTGTTGTCCAGTCTCACCAGCTCTCAGAATAGTCAGTGTTCTTCATGAAACCCTGTAATATCAAACAAACAAACAAAAAGCCCACATGCTGTATTTTACCCGAGGGTTAGGGATTGCATATGCCCAGCTGGCTTGCATTCAAAAACTTTTAGGAGACAGATGTTCTTTGAGGACATTATATAGGCAATCTGGTTATCACTTAAGGAAAAGAAAAAAAAGAAAAAAAAAGGAGAATGTGTTCATTGAATGTAGAATTTTAGTTGTTAATCAGTAACAGATATGCAGGCTGTAATTTTTTTGAAGATTTATATCTTGGCCCAATGGCTCAAATTTTCATATGGAAGAATGAATCATCGAACCATTTTCATATGATGCCCTCCCTCTCTTGTCAAATTTCTGCTCCCTAGTTAAAAGCATGAAGAGCTTTAAAGGAGTTGTCATCTAAATATTCAATGCAAGTTTAACTTTCTCCCTACACATCCTTGTCTCATTTGCAGAAATAGCTAGATATTGGTTGAAATGCTTCCAAAAAATTCAGCCTGAGACAGACACCTGACATGTTTAAAATAAGATCAAACCAAATGATAAAAGTTTTATTGAGTTACAGGGAATTGAAAGTAGGATTATGTAAACTGACATGTTAGGCTATCAAAATTGAACCAGCCTTATCAATAAGTTGGAAGGTAGGCTTCAAACAGAACTCAAAGTTAGGAAAAGATCAGAGCATTCTTCCTTTTACATTGTATAATCTTACATAAATTTTAGGGGAAGGATGTGCCATAATTTTTTTTTTTTCTTCCAATGAAAAGTCAAAAAAAAAAAAAAAAAAAAAAAAAAAGATAAAAAGATAACTGAAGCATAGATTACTTTATGTGGACGATATCAGGGGAAAAAAGGAAAAATATGAAAATATGCTGGGTCTGTTTTAAAAAGTAAATAGACAAGATTGTTGGCCACTGGCTATATAGTGTTGCACGTATGTTCATTGACCAATAGAGGAGTTGTAAAATGGCTAACTTTCAAGAATATCAGAAATGCAGAGGTGTAGAGGAGCTGAATATCTTAAAACAAATGAGAAGAAAGCAGGTAGGAAACAGTCTATAAAGATCAGGTTAGGGAATGAAAAGAAAGATATAGTTGAACAATTTGAGCTGGAAAATCACACATACTTTTTCTTTTATGGCACTTGCTTCACATTTGTGCTTTTGTCTTAGAACAAGTAGCTTAATTCTTCTGACCTAATTTTGCCATCTAAATATAATGCTTATCACTCAGACTTTGCAAACTGCTGTATAATTGCTGAAAAATCTGTCATCTTCTAGTGGATTTAATACTAAATTCCTCATTTGTTTCAGTTCATCAAAATTTATTAGTTCAGTCGGTACATCTCTAAGACATACTTTACTGAAGTGTATCTGCCTACACCAGTGTTCGGCACTGTTTTTGAAAACATCTGTTGTGTTGCGTGGTATCTTCTTGGATTTGAGATGAGAAAAAAGTGTGAGGTAATTTTTAAAAGAAAATAAAACATGAAAGTCTTTTCTTGAAACAGAGTACTGAAAACATGCACAAAAAATGTGTATGTCATTGTGGGATGCTCTACCTTAAGGACTGGAAACAAGATG